TTTTTTTTTTTTTTTTTTATAAATGCATGAAAATCCACAGTCTACCAATAATATTTGCCTTTTTCATCGCATAGATAAATAATCTCGCTTCTCGAGGATCCAGAAAAGATGACACTCAGTTGTAGAAACCCAACTAATACCTTCGAATAGTGCTCCCCGTTTTGTTGAAGCAGATCCACGCACATTTCGGAAAGATGAATGAGGTCTTCGAGTTTCTTGCTTGGCGTAACACAAACCTCACCGCTGAAGTCGTCTTCGATCTTCGCGTCGGCAGAAAGTTTTGTGTAATTAACAAGAGCAGCTTTTTCAAGGCAACTCTTGATCAAAGCTTTCACTTCTTCTTGAGGTACAGGACTGATGCCATCCTTCATTATTACTCGTTCCAAAAGAGACAAAGTAGCTTTCAATGCGCCTTCCGGTCGACCAAACGGGAAGCTATATCTGTATATTTCAATAAGAACTCGTTTTGATAAGGGATTTATTTAACTGATGAGGAGCCTAAGTGTGACTGATTTTAACGAAACTTTTACGTATTCTTAATGCAATAGAAAATATTCAAGTATGTTTCTATTAATATCTAATCGTTCACATTTACAGATACAAAAATAATCCTTAATACTAGTTACTAAATTTTTGTAAGTATTTCAATCTTACACTCACTTTGGAAAATAAAAAGGATTGAAAAGATGTTTAACATAAAATTTAACTGAAAAATAATGCATACTAAGATAAGGAATTTTTTGTATTCTGTTTAAATTTGAGATATTTTTTAATTTAAGATAAATACAAGTGCCTCGAAAACGATCGAAAGCAGACATGGAATTGGATATCTACATATTTTCTTAAATATTTCAAAAATTATTTATAGAGAAAAGAATCATGTCAATGATCAAAAGTTTTTTGGACAACAAAAATGGATGTGGTGCTATGAATAGATCATGAATTGTGTCAGTAGATAAATCTTGCATTTTTGAGCGGCAAATATGGATGTGATACTATAAATAGATTAAGAATTGTGTCAATGGAAGAATCTGTCTTTTTGAACGACAAATGTGAATGTACCATAAATATACGAAGTTTCGTTAAAATCAGTGTATCACACTTAGATGGTGTTTCAAAATCACATGCAAAAATTTAATTTTTCTAATTCTATCACACCCTACTATATCAGCAATTATTTAATTTATTTAATTTATTATTACTATACTCAAAGAATTCAAACTACCAGTATAATTTATTACAACTACACTAATTAATAGCTGATAACTGAAATAATTAATTGCTAAGAGAAACCTCTTACATATATACAAAAATTCTCAAATATTTCAATTATTTAAGCTAAGTTTCAATCATAATGTATGATACAAAGAAGACAAAAAAGGAAAGACAAAGGAAACCTACTATTTTGTTATTAACAAATTAATTACTATTATTAGTTACTGCAATTGCAATTGCAATTGAAAAAAAAATTCTTTACCTGAAATTAGTAATTTGTTCCTCGAGAATCTGTCTGAGCCTCTCTTTGATCTCTTGAAATTTCTCCTTCTCCTCGTGAGTGATGGAGCCGACTCTGTCCGTGCGGTTGCCGTAGACGTGGGTGGCACAAAAGGCGAAACTAAAGTGAATCAGAGTTGGATCGATCATGAGCCCGCGATCGATCCTATCCAGTAGATCGTGCAAGTAGCACAAATGTCGAAAACAACCTCGTACTCCGTATCTGCGAAGGCAAGTTCACGATGTTCTGTTTTCAGAATATACGAGGAGATCTTTTTTCGCATCTCGCATGATCGCGTTACCTAGCGCAATATTCATCCAGAACGAATACTTGACCGGGCGAAAACCAACCAAGGGAACAGTATGGATCGTTCAATCGATAATCCAGAATCAAGTTCTGTAAAAACTTGAAGAGTGCGTGGTGATCGAATTTGCAAGGATCCGCGCTAATGTAATCTTCCATTCCGTGCTTTTTTGCTCGATCGGCGTCGCCCTGTATCTTACTGATGGTAGAATTTTTGTCCGTAACGGAAACTGGCGGAGTAGGTTTATGAGATTGGCCGGTCGCTCTGTACATGACCATCACCCAGGTCTGGCACTCGTTCTCGTCGTCCGTGGCGAACACTATGTTGTCTCCTTCGCGAACGGCGTTAAAATAAAATCTGTGAAAAATGATGTACAATACATTAATATACGCTTTCTTCACTCATTGTCACTTGTTTAATACTTCGACATGTATGTACATGTACACTACTATTCACAAATATAAATTCAATGCGTCTAACTATAAAAAGTATAAGTATATAAAAGTATATATAATATACTTCAAATATAAATATAATATGTAAATAGATATTATAAATATGAATATAGATATTTATTTTTAGTCTCTAATCTTATGTTGAGCAACCATATATATAATAATAATAATTTAAATGCTTTAAATACTAAGACGATATATACTAAGGTATTGATAAATATAATAGATAATATTCTTTAATATAAATAAAGAAGAAATAATTAAAGATGGATTAAAATTTATCTTACAGACACGTTTAACAATAAGTGACTTTAAGTATGTCTCTTCCATGTTGGAACATTAGAGTGACTGAGATATCTGATTCTAGCCGTATTCTAAAAGTTTTTATAAGTTTCATGAGTAATATAAATACTTCATTCACCGAGAATTTGAATGATACATAATTTATAAAAAAAAAATTCATACACCTTATCTTATTATAGTTACAGATTAAATAACTACATATCTATAAATGTTGCGATCACGAGTATTATCCAATCCTATATAAATCGTCATAATACACGCTAGAGTACGGAGTACGGAACGAATATGATTAGCAAAGATATCTAATTCATTCTAAATTTGATCTAATATACATTAAAATGTCTCTATGTATTTAGAAATTCGTACCAAATCACAATTTAAGCAAACTCTGATGCTATTTACTTTCTAATACAAATAACATAAAAAAACAATATGAAATTAATATATAAGAAGCATAAACAAGCTATGATGAATAAAATAAATTGTAATCGTGGCACTTGCACTTTGTTCTAGCATACGTCATTGCACATGTACACAAACAATATTTTACCTCCCATCATCTAGATCCATGCCAACCATAAGATTGGCAGAAACAGGTTCGATATAATCGACCGTGTAACTATCCAGCTGCATCATCTCCGAGGGTTCGCTCCTCCTCTCTTTGTACGAGCACATCGCGAACGTGTACTGAGAAACTTGAACTAGCACGTGGTATCGTTTCTTCCACTTTTTCCACACAGACTTGCCCATTGCATAAAGATAACCGCAGTGTTTCATGTTGAAGGGCTTATCCATTCGACAACCAACTTTGATGAGGAGTTCCTGGTCTGGACAATTCTTCGGGACGGACATTCGGTACCATTCCGGATGTTTGCAGGAAAACGGTGTAGGTCGTATATGCACTTTGCCCAACTCCTTGTCCTCGAGCGCGAGCATCGCCGAATTTTCAGTGAAGAGTCGAACCTTGACCAGTGGAAGCGGTTGCATGGTGGTAAAGTCACCCTGTGTATCCCACCTGTAAGTCGACGCGGCGAAAGAGAGGACGAGAAAATAGAAGAGAAAGAAACGATATAGGAAACGAGTCGGTGCAATATGAAATGTTGGATATAATAAAAAGATGAATCAAAGTTTCAAAGATAGCTCAGTCTTTTTGCTAAGATCCATCTTGACTTTTAGCTTTTCGCCTAGCTCTACTGGCAGTCTAATTATTGTACGCGCTACTACTCACATAGGTTTCGAAGCCTCAGCGTGATCGGTTTGCAGCTTTTTGCCACGATCGACTTCCATCGTGCAATAAACTATCTTGTTCGGCGGCAAACTCTTCAAGCCCCTGACCTCTACCACTACCACAGCCAGCTGGAAGGTCAGGCCTACGTCCATTTTGGTTAACTGCGGTTCCAAGTCAGCGGAGTCGCTCTCCAATTTAACGAGAGAACCCTGACCGCGGTAGCGGGAGCGCTCGCGACGGTGATTGCAGCGCTTCAGCTTCTGCAGCCCGTATTTGCTGTCTGTCGAACCTTTCGAGACCGGTAATGACTCTAAATTAGCCATTAACAGGTTGATAGACGACTTAAGTTCCTCGATGTAGAGCGACTCCATTTCTTTTAGAAGGAACTTGGGCATAAGCTTGCGGTTCTATCGAACAAGAGGAAAACAGCGATCGTAATGATCTTGTGTGTTATATGCAAATAAAAGAAAAAAATTATTACAGTAGAATCTCGTTCAACCTCCGTGTGAACAAGGTAGCTCGAATGAGAAACCTGATTCAGACGGACAACTTTAGAACCATATCCACCAATTAGAGAACGATGGTCGGTCGCGGGCGGTCATGAATTAATATGGAAACGCATAATAGTGCTCAGACGAACCATTGATTGAGGTCAGTTTCGGTCGTCGTAACACGTGGACGGCATCACCGTCGCAAAATTGTTACCGTCTGTGGTTGAGCACAATCATGACACGCTGACTCGTGGATCACTTACCAACCAGTCGCCGCCAACACAATGTTTTTCTCTTCGAAATTTATTTTATATATAGATAGTAAACTTGCCATGTGAAACTTTAGCAAAAACTGCGAAATTTTAGTAAAAACAGCTTGTAGAAATTTTAAGCAGCTAATAAAAAGTTATACGTGAGTGGTTGATTTCACCAGTAGTCCAACCACCGTTTTCTGATTGTGATGTGTTTCTAGAGTCGTCCGTCCGAGTAAGGTCTACGAGGATTATCCCTATCGAGTAATTTGGTAATAACCCTTATTTCCAGCTTCTCGAGCTGTTTCTCCTTTAATGCATAGAATTTGAAAAGCACACAAGGGGAATTTATGTTTATCGATCCTCGTTTTTTGGGTTTTTTGATGGGTTGGAAAGGGTACGATTTTAGGGTACAATCTTAGATTTGTCATTATTGTAAACAAATAATTATTGCAACAATCGATTTGATCCAAGAATGAAATTACAGGCAATATTATAGTGTGAAATTAATTGATAGCGTGTTGAATCTTAAAATTGCTTATCATGTTCTTTTCTTGTGATCTTCATTAGTAATTCTAATACGAATAATTGCACATACAGGGTGTTAAGAAAAAGTGGGTGATATCTACAGATATGATTCTTCACTAATAAGACAGAGAGGGAAATCCATGTAACTTTACGTTAAAAATATACCCTGTGTAGACCACTGAAGTGGCCACTCTTTTCAAATTCTACTTCATGTTTCTCATTTTGGGTCGAATGATCAATATTAAAATTCTCATTTGTTTCCTCGGAGTAAGAAATACTGAAGAGTTCAATTTAAAAATTAATATCCAGAATCACAGTTTATAAATATAGTCTACCTTTTTTAACACTATAGATTCATTATAAAGGACATGCATTCATATGATTAAAGTTGTTGCTCAACTAGAATAAGTAATAAAGACTCAGCTATAAATTTGTAACATTCGAAACCGAGCATTAACTTGTTCCTATAAACGAGATTCCACTATATTTGATTAGTTAAAAAGCGTGAAGAGAGGAAGCATGCATCGAAAAGCGTTACCTTTTCCATTTCGTTGACCCTTTGAAGGCGACCATCCAGCTCCCTCCTGATGGCGGCAGCCTGCTCGTCGGCTGAATCCAACAGGAGGGCGTTGAACAGAAGTTGGTGTTCGAACTTCTTGATGCCAAGAATTTGCTGAAACACGTCGTACAGCTGCTCCTTCGGCAGAATCATCTCCGAGAGCAAAGACTGTTGTTGCATCCTGGAGGGCCTCTTGGTCTCCTCGTCTCCCGAACCTTTCATGATACAATCGAACTTGGCCAACCAGGACGTAAGTACAGTCTCTTTGCTCAATCCATCGATTTCCGGGAAGCGTAGAACACGTATTTTTATGTTCTCCTTGAACACCTCGCGGAAGTCGAGTTGAGAGCAAGCACCGCTTTGCACCATTTGTATCACTCGATCCGACGTTAAAAACACATCGTAGTAATTCTGTATGGCATTGCGGAACGCTTCATCCGCCATTATCTGCGTTTCTCCCTTTAGAAAACTCTGTAAATCATAATGAAGCATATGAGACATTCTTCCCGGAACCTCTTTCTTTTCCCCTTTCGTTCTATGAATTATAAAATCAATAGACATCGACTCGAGTCAATCACTCTTCTTCTATCAATCACTAGTGAAGGTGAAGGTTACTCGTACGTGACGAATTTGCGCATAAGTGAGGGTATACGGCTTCTTCCATCGCGTTACATCTTCTCAGAAGGGTTTCTTTTGTCTCTTTCTTTCTCCCTGTCTCTTGCATTCTCAATCTTTCAATCACTTGTATGTATATATGTATTTATATACTCAGTGGAGACGATATAGCATAATGGTTGATTAAAGTTTCAAGAGAGACCTCTTAATATAGTTATACGTTCTATACAAGCAATTATGTTGAAGCTTGTTAATTTTATTTTCCTAATCTAATTCCATTTGTTCTCTCAGAGTGCAAAAGTGAATCAAGTCTCTATTATCGCTTATTTAATTGTCGTATTGATAAAAATTAACCCGTAACTATTAAAATTTACGACTTTATAGAAGGACACAAAAAGCAATCTGAAATTGGCATTGTACGATACCGAAAGGGATTGAAAGTTGGCACATTTTGGCACGTTTTGGCACTCGGAATATATGAACTTTCGCTCTCTTTCGTACTATATAACGTTTCCACAATAGTCGATTGCATCTCAAGAGACGATATATGTATAATTACATATACAACGGGGGGGACAAGGAAGAAATATAAACAAAGATATATAATATCTCTTGTTTGTCTTCGCGCAATGCAATGAAGAAATATGAACGATTACCTGAAAACGAGAACATATTGTTTCGAGTTGCTGTTTGGTCACTTTCAGCGGGCGTTTCGTCATATCCAGTGGTTGTTTGGCGTTGAACGGATATGAAATGCATCTCGAGACGAACACGTACAACTGTATCCTAGTCTTCCTCTCCTCTTCTTCCCGCTCTTGCTTATCCTAGGCAAAACAGAACATGACAATTAAACAGAGAAATCTTTCAGATCAAAAGACAAGGATATACCTGCTCGGTTTCGATTTTCTCGCTAGCAACGGAGGGCGAAGGGCTAGTGGGTCTCTGAGCGTAACTTGCCGCATCCTGGGCAGCAGACATAGAAGGCGACAACGAGTTTCTCACAGTGGAGGAGTCCAATGAACTATCCTGGCCAGTAGCCGTGCCAGCACGAAGTGTCCCAACAGATCCATAGATCGAGCCTCCTGGCGAAGCTAACGAACTCATGCTACCTGATACAGGACCACTTGCGCCGCCAAAGCTACTTCCAGGTCCGATCTGTCGCCGGGATCCGTACGAGCTACCGCTCCCAATACGAGCACCACTGCTACCTCTGCCACTTCCGCCGCTACCGACAGCCCCGACATGCTGAGAACTCTGGTCCTCCTCGCTTTCCGACTCTGATGAGCTCGGGTCGATCATTCTGCTTCCTCAGGATATACTTCCCGTATTTCCGAGGAGGCCTAACTTCTCCTCTCAGTCACGGATCCGTTCTTCTTCTTCTTCTTCTTCTTCTCCACCACGCCTACGATCGAACAAATTTCTTTTCATCTTTGCGTACCAAAACTTCTTCCCTCTCTCTCTCTCTCTCTCTCTCTCTCTCTGTCTCTTTGTATCCTACTCTATCTATATCTCTATTCTCCTACTTTTGCATTTGCATTGTTTCTTATACTTGAAATAAGAAACATATGAATTGCAATGAAAGAATATCTGGAGAAATAAAGAAAGCAACAAACATTTGCCGGCTTAAATGCAACGAATATCGATTGTTCACTGCTCTATTCTCTTTGTTGCTCTTTCGCGTCACTCTACTTCCTCTTCGATCAAGGATTGACTTGCGCGTGTGCTCGCGCGTCAGACACGCGACACGGAATGAAACCCGGCGACAAACTCTGATTAAGCAATGCGCGGATCATCGATCCTTTCGTGTATGTTTGAGTATTGAAATCGTCGGCAATACGATATCGTGCGAAAGAGAACGAGACGCAACGTGGTACCAACTCGAAAAAAGAAATCCACCGGCTCGTTATAATCACCCGTATATGAGCCCTAATTACATATTTAACCCAGATATGTAAATATTTCTAACGGCAACGTCGATAAGTCGCGACGCGGTACAGTTCGGTTTCGAGCGCGAGTTTAAATTCGAATCCCGAATCACCGGCTTAACTCTTTCAGCGTGGCCATACTTTATATTCACGCGCTTATCTTTCACACCTTTGCGCTTCATCCCTTTTATATTGGCCCATATTTCCATTCCTTATGTTCCCGATCTTTGCATTTCCACGCATTTATCATTCTATAAATAACATATGCACGTGCTTCGAAGGAGAGGAATGCTTCCTCCTCGATGCGTTTCATATCGATTCTTCTTATTCATAGTGTAACCAA